CCCCAGAGCCTGCGCCCCTGAGCTGCCGGCTGGGAGCAGGCTGGGAGCCCCGTCTCCGCGGGCATGTCCCTCTGTTCAGTGGCTCCGGTCACAGGAGTCCTGGCCGGCCCCCAGCCCGCCCAGCCTTGTCTGACCGCATCACCCGCGCAGTGGCCAGACCTCTGTCCGCTGCGCTGCGTCCGGCCCACCTGCCTTGTTGTCTGCCCACGTGCTCCCCTCCCTGGCCCCGGCCGGCCACTCGCAGAGCTGCAGCCGCCCAGCACAGACACCAGTCTGGCTGGACGCTAGGTGCAGGCTCTGGAGACCGGAAGACCCCGCCCAGCGGCCGGAGGAGACAGCAGCCTGGCTCCCCCCGGGACAGCGCCCACTCGTGTTCTGCCTGCTGAGGCCCCCAAGCCTGGCCGGGAGGGCTGGGGCTGGCTGGGCATCATGGGGGAGCCAGGGCCGGCAGGTGTCGGACAGCGGGCAGTGGCAGGCCAGAGCCGCCTGCGGAGGGCCCCTCTCGGTCCGCCTCCTCCCGCCCCTTGAGCCTGCGCTGGCCATGAGAGGGCTGCCCGGCCCCAGCCAGCTGACCATGGAGAGGCAGAAGCAGAAGTGCCTGGAAGCACAGGCCAGGCTGCCCAGGAGGCCGGTCAGTGGGTCAGTGGTCACTGTTCACCCTGGGCGGTGCAGGTCTCCTGGGGGCAGCTGAGACTCGAGGGGAGGGGCCGTGGCAGTGTCCCTGGCTCAGCAGCCCCTCCCCCCCGGTCACAGGCTGGCTGGACAGGCCTCCTCTGGCTGCAGCAGCTGGAGCTCGGGCAGGCCCGGCGTGGCCGGCCTGCAGTCGGGCAGAGACCAGCTGGTGGCCCCGGCCCACGGTCAGCCACAGAGCGATCTGGCACTGGGGGAAGAAGTCACCAGATCTGCCTCGGTGACGACAAGTCTGAACCGTCGCCAGTGGCCTGTGAGCATCTGTGGGGGCTGGAGTGGTCATTCTCTAGACGGAGAGCTGGCCGCCAGCCCCCGCCTGGATACCCCGCCAAGTCCCCAGCCGTGCGGGCGGGGTGTGGGGCTGACAGCGGTCAGCGGCAAGCCCCACTTCCCCTTGCCTCCTCCCCTGGACGGCTCGGCCGCACCAGCCTGGTGTCTGCGCGGGTCATCTGGGGCCGTGTCCGAGCCTCCCTCTGGTCCCAAACCCGCCGCCGCGGGGCTGGGGGCAGGGGCGGTGGATGGGCAGGAGGGTGGCCTGCCGGGAGCGCTGAGCTGGCCGGAGCCCAGCAGGAGCGGAGGGAGGGCCAGCGGCCTCCTGAGTGCCGGCCAGGCCAGCCTGCGTCCCTGCTCTTCCCGTGGGGACGAGCCTCAGAGAGGCCACCGTCAGACCCGAGCCACTCAGGGTCGCGGCGCCTGAGGCTGGGGGCGGCCCCCGACGCCCCCACTTCCTCCTGCAGAATCAGTGCCCGAGGGGACCCTGTCCCGTGCTGGGGGGCGGCCGGGCGAGGCAGCGGGGCAGGCCTGCGGCGGGCAGAGCCGGGCTCACCAGAACACGTGGTCCTTGGTCACGCGCTCCTGCAGAAGTGCCCACTTCTTCCCCAGGTCCGTTGACACGTAGAGCTTCAGGGCGGAAGGAGAGAGACAGCCGGTGGGTCCTCCGGCGAGGAGGGCTCCCGGGAGACGGTGGCCGCCCCTCCAGGGTGGACGCCCCAGGAGGCCGCCCCCCACCCTGGCCGAGGAGCCGCTAGGGTGGGCCCCGTGCTCACACGGGGGACAGGCCACCCCGCGGGGGCTCCAGACGGCCACTGGGGAGGCCAAGAGACACCGGCCAGGCCGGCCCCTGGGGGGCCAGCTGTCCTGTGTGGGGTGGGGCGCGGGCAGGCCCACAGGCGGGAGGGGCCGTGGGGGTCAGGGCTTGCCTGTTGTGTAAAGGGCTCCGCACTTGCCTGCTGGGCGGCCGGGCTCCTGCCTGCTCTCTGGAGTGACCAGGAAATCCCTGGGAGGGGCCCAGAGCCGGGACCTGGCGTCCAGCCTCGGAACTCAGCCCGGGCTCCAACCCTGGCTGTCCCTGCAGGGACAGCCTGGCCAGCCTGGGAGCCGCCTCCTCGGCGGTCTGCAGGGCCCAGGGGCCTGTGTGTCCCG